GACAAGCCCACAGCAGAGAAATCTGATGGGAAGGGACATCCATGAAAGAGTCCAGGAACAGGAAGAATAGGCCCTTCCAGTCCATTCCACTGTTCTACATCAGATACTGCAGTGATCATTGTAAACTGTAAACCAAGCAATCCAAGCCCTGAAACAACAGGGACTAGAACGTGGCCCCCAGGCAGTGCCCTTTCAAACTGCTCCAGCCCAGGATTTCTGCACAACTAGCTCATTGCAGTGATCGACAATCTAGCTGGATAATTAGGAAGCATGTATTTGACTCCCTGTACCCCAGGGCGTCCCAGTCCGGGCTGTCACACTCAAGTCCCACGAGGCCGCAGTGCTTTCCAGGTTCTGCTGGACTCTGAGCCAAGAATTTAACGGACCTACCTGCCCTCCGAGACCCTGCCTGTCACTCACTCCTGGTTCTGTTATTCCACTCCTCTTCACAGGCAGGGCTGCAAGAGCTTTTAAACCTGGCAAATGCACCGAGAACATACTGAAGATGCGGATGAGGGAAACCACGACCCTCCGCTGTATCGGCTGTGGGGGTCCTGTACGCCCCCCCCCACCCCCGTCTGCCAGCAGCACCTTCGTGCCACCACTCCTGTCTCACGGGGCAGAGGTCACCCTGGTGCACATCAAGCACGACAGGCAGGCAGTTGGGTTTAAATTTACAATTTATTAAATCTGTCAATGAAAAACACAGACAAGAAGAGACGCGTTTCTGTCGATGTCAGGAAGAACAGTCGGCATGGCTGAGAGAGTGAGATCGGGAGAGTTCGGTGCAAAAACATCGGCATTGTCACAATTGTATTATTATTAATATTATTATTATTATTATTATTGCAAAAAGGTTTGATCGTTGCTCCCCATCCAACACGTCCCAAAGAGCAGCACTGTTCATGTAAGGGGGGAGGGCTGAGGTGTCATCACAGTAAAAAATGATCATTGGAACCCCGAAAGAAAAAAACATCCAACAGACAAAACACAAGCACCTCAACACGGACGAGATTCGGGCACTGTCACAACAC